GGTAGAAATGATGGTGGTAACAGGAGTTATGGCAGATATGGCGTGGCAGTGGTGATGGTGGTGGTAGCAGTGGTAATGGCGAGTTGTAACAGTGGTGGCAGTGGTGGTAATGATGGCAGAGGTAGTGGTGGTAAAGGTGATAAGAGATGGTGGCCATGGTGATGGAGAAGATAATGGTTATGCTGAGATGGCAGTGGTGGCAATGGGTGGGGCAGTAATAGTTAAGGAATATGGCAGATGTGACGTGTAGAAGCAACGCTAAGCATGGTGATGAGAGTTGTCACGGCGATGGTGATGGTGGTGATAACGGAGGGAGCAGTGGCAGGAGGAAAGCAGACGATAGTGGAGTGGTAGCTATGGAATGGAGTAGATGTGAGGAGGCAGTGATGGTGGAGGTAATGATGGTGGAGGTGGTGGACGATAATGAGGCACCATGGCGATAATGAGGATGGCGATAATGAGGCGTCATGGTGACTGTGAAGGTGACGCAACTAGAGGCAGAGGTGATGGTAGAGATGTCAGTAGCTGTGGTACAGATACAGGTCGTGATGTGGATGGCAGATGGTGATGTTGATGGTGGAGGTGATGGTAGTGGTGGAAGAGGCAGCAGCAGTGAAAACAACAGGGGCAACTCCTTTTCTCACAAACACAAGGACAGACGGTGAGACTGTCAATCTGAGCAAACAAGCACTTTCTCCCTCCTCTACATTCTTCATCCCAGACTCTACTCTGATCCCTCTTCCACATAGACTCAATTTAATGTGATATATACATGATATATATATATAATATTCTCTCATAATTACATCTCTACTAATCATGTTACACCTTTTTTATCATGAAAATGCAAAGTAGGAACCTCTATTTCATTATTCCAAGTAAGTGTTTACCAAAAATTCCAAAACAGCTTTTTGTTTGTTTGTTTGAAAAATTATTTAATAGGTGGCTGTCATGCACTTGATACCTAAAAATGCCAAATGCATTTGTATATAATCTTCAGTCAAGGATTTAGAATTTAAGAAAAGTTTGCACAAGTGAGTGTTCTGTGTTTTCTTAGCATGCCCCCACCCTACTCTGCAGATCTGCATGTACCATAATATTCGCCGTTTTAAATTTATTCTACTAGTTTTCAGGATTTTGAGTACATTTTGTTTACTTTCAGAAAATTAAATCACAGTAATTTCAAAGTAGAATAGGTTATTTGTTAGTATAAAGGGCAGTTATCACTTTTAACTCTGCTTCAAGAACAAAACTTAATTGTGCAAAACAGCTTCTTCATGTTAAGCAGTTCACCAGGAAGAACTGCATTCTGCACACCTCCTGGCATACACTGCTCTGTTCTCCACACAGACAGCAATGTACTTAGATGGTGGTGTAGGTTTTCTTGTTCATAGCTAGATGTTGTATTAACATTTGGGATCCAAAATATAAAATCATTTTTTTAATTGGGTGGAAAATATCATGACAGTTACAGTTGTGTGCCTAAAAGTGAAAATAAAGATATATTCTACAAGGTGAAAAGGGTTAAGAAAGGCCCTCGGTAGACGATACCTGGAAGAGAGGGTTAATTTATTCTAATGGTCATAATCTCGGCCCTATTCTATCTCTTACTGCAGTGGTACTGGTGTCTTTCAAGGCTGGATCAAACCCAGTGTCATCATTTACTGCCACATCACACTCTATGGGTTCACTGGCCATCTATGACTTAGCCATTCCCCCCTTTGATGGAACCCCAAGTTGCCTCCTCTGACCACATTTAACAGAACAAACATGAAGCTGTGCGCCCAGACTAGACATTCTCTGGGGCACACACACTCTAGAGTGGGGTTACTATGTCATGAAATACATGAACATAAATGACATTCTGTCTGTGAATATTTACTTTACTGTACAAGTACAGATTGCTAACAGAATGCCTGACCCACTCTGGCTGGCAAGAGGCATGATAGATGTCTCTGTGCTCCAGGCCTGCTTACCCAACTGCAGTATTCTGATAGAGAGCTAGCCACCCATCTGTCCATTCTAAGCACACTGTCACCACTTAACCACACTCCCTGCAGTTTGGAATATTTCTGTCATGTGACTCTTATTCCCCTCCTATATCTGAAGCAGATGCTGTCACTTGGAATTTGTTGCTCTAGATACAGTTCTGCCATTGGAAGCAGCAAGCCCATGTCCAAGGTGGTGTTTTCTTCCACATCTTGCCTAGGATGGACCTATCGAGCACCCACACCACTGCCTATCTGGACATCTTGTGAGGGTGTGTCCTCTGGGCTTCTTGGCTCAAAGGGAAAGGAAAGAGATTTGCATGTGCTGAGTAGCTCTCAACTTTCTGAATCTGTGGATGGATGGGGCTCTGCAATGGACTAAATGCTTTAACCCCTACAAATCCCTATGTTGAAATTCCACCAAGAGGAGACAGTATTAGAAGGTAGAACTTTTGGAACACTGTGAGATCATAGGGATAGGGACTCGTGAATGGCATTAGTGCACTTAAAAAAATAGACAAAGAGAGCTCATTAGCTCTGTTTCATCCATGTGGGGACACAGAGAGTAGGTAACAACCTGCATCCCAGAAGGACACCCTCCCCAAAGCCTGGCCACACAGCATCTGGACCAAGACCCCAAGGCTCAGCACTGTGAGAGTTGTTCTAATCCTCCTGGTCTGTGTTGGTCACAACTGTCTGAACCTCCAGCTCCCTGGAAGCAGAGTTTTAGACTGAAAGTCACATGTAGGACTTTGTATATATGGCAGCTAATTTAATGTTAACTGGGCCACAGAGGTTCCAGATTAAACATGGTTTCCAGATGTTCCTGAGAAAGTATTTCTGGATGAGATTAGGATTCAAAGCAGTAGAGTCAGTACAGTAAGTAGAATGCCCTGTCTAATCTGGGTGATCCTTGACCAGTCAGAGAGGGTAGGAAGGAAAGAAAAGGGGAAGGAAGAGAGGGATGGAAATAATAGTAGAAAGAAAAGAGAGATGGAGGGGGAGAGGAAGTAGGTGGAAGAAAGGAAAGAAAGAAGGATGGAAAGGAGGAAGGGACAAAAGGAAGGGAAAGAAGGAAGAAAGGAAAGAAAGAAGGGAGGTAGGGAAGAAACAAGGAAGGAGGAAAGCAAGGAAGCAAGGAAGGATGGATTTTCCCCTCATGCCTTCAGATTGCAGTCCAAGGCGGAACACTGGGTCTTCTCCCAGTCTTGGTGAGTGACTTGCACTGTTGGCTCCCTGATTCTCAAGCTGTCAGGCTCAGACTGGAATTGTACTGCTGGCTTTCCTAAGTCTTCAGCTTGCCCATGACAGATGGTGAGACTTGTTGACCTCCATAGCCCTGTGAACCAATTCCTCATAATCTCTGGGATTGGCTATTTTTTCCTCTGGAGAACTCTGCTCCTTCAGAGATGTTCTTATCAGATATGAGACAGGACATGGAGAAAATAGAATTGTGTAGGAAAATAAGGAAGCCAGCAATGTGGTCAATGCTAAGGCTTCAAACTTGTACCAAACAACAGCCAGGCTGGTCCTTGTAGCCTCATGTGAACTAGGAAAAGGCATGTCCTGGGTCAGGCTATTCCCTGTAGCTGTGAATAAAATCCAATGGGGGGGGGGGAGCTGAAAATCCCAGCAACAGGGAAGAGTGCCTCAGCCATGGAAAGGAATCTAGGCAGAAAAATTCTGGAAACCCTGCTCACTAAGTGTAGGTCACCATCCATGAGACCTTTTAGCCATTTTGTGTTTTCTCTCCTAAAAAATCCCTATCACACATCATTTGCCTGTTTCTATATTTGAGTTCTTGTGTTTTCCTAGTTTATTTGCATGTGTTTTAACATACTCTAGATTAGGGGCTACAGATAATTACCTACCTACGTCTGTTTATGTCAACTTGCAGGCTTCTTGGTGTTCCTTCTCTGAAGAGAAGTCCCAAGCTGGAAGGAAACCACTCCAAATTCTCTCCACCTCACAGCAGGGATCTTCCTACAAAGTCTTCAGCCTCAAGATCACAAAGATATTCTACAACATTTTCACTGCTACTTTTATAAGATAGGTTTTTGAAAAATAACTTAGGTCTCTTTATTTTATGTGTGCATGTTTTGCCCACATGCATATATGTGTATGCACTGCTTGCAGAGTTACAAAAAGAGAGAGAGAGGGAGGGAGAGTGTCAGAGTCCCTGAAACCGTAGTATGGATTGAGAGATGCCACGGGGGTGCTGCGAATCAAATCTAGATCCGCTGAAAGAATAGCAAATGCCCTTAAATGCTAAGCCGTCCCTCCAATCCCAAGATAGCTTAACTCTGTAACTACTATGGAATGTAGATTCAATATCATCTTCTACCTAAGCAATGTGTTCTTCTCCCAGGTGTGGGGTTCTGATCAGATATCAAGTTACATACTGAGGGTCTGTTTCTGAGCTCTCTTCCTGTCCCAGTGGCCGTCTTTCATCAGTCTCTCACCAATGTTGTATGTTTTGATTTGGTTTAGTTCCGTGCTCATCATTGCTTCCTAATGCCTTCTAATATGGACTTTGGAAATATTCCCCATATTACGTCTCTTTTTTTCTTCAAAAAAAAATGTCAAAGTAATACGTTGGCCTTTATTCTTCAAAATAAACAAGCTTCCTGGGTTCCCAGAAAGAAAAAAAAACTTACTAGAATTTACATTAAGATTAATCTCAGCACTCAGGAGGCAAAAGCAGCAAGTTCCAGCCAGTTGGTGCTACACAGTAAGACTCTGAATTAAAAGAAAATAAAACATTACATTGAATTCATTGATCAATTTGGAACATGCCAACATCTTTACATGAACCTAGTGTATTTTCAGTCATTAAAATCTACTTTATGTTACATAATAGAGTTTTAATTTTTTTCTTTCCTTCCTTCCATTCTTTCTTTTATTCATGTGTGTATGTATCTTTAAGTGTGTGTGTGTGTGTGTGTGTGTGTGTGTGTGTGTGTGTGTGTGTGTAGTGGGGGAATATACACAGAGACCAGAAGAGAGCTATAGTTAAGGAATTCATGAGCCATCATGTGGGTGCTGGGAACCAAACTCGGGCCCTCTAAAAACTCAACAAGTGTTATACACTGCTGAACCATCTCTCCAGCCTCTATATCTTTCTCATAAAGGCCTTCTTTATCCTCCGTCAGTTAACACAGATGTGTTACTATTATGAGTAGCGCTTTCTATTATGAAGCCTAGCCGTCTTCTACTAAGGAGGGAAATACTACTGAGAAACATGGGTTAACTTTTAATCCAGTATTTTAACAATTTTTCTGATGGTTCTGTTAGGTTTTCTGTCCATATAATTACATTGTAGGATGGCGGCTTTGTCTCTCTCTTTCACACCCTTACATCATACATCCTTTAATCTAGTTTTCTGGCTCTATTCCTTTGATCAGGATATGTGTTGGTTACCCAGGATGTCAGTCACTCTTGTCTTGATCCTAATCATAAACAACCTAATGTTTCTCCATAATGTTGTTCACTGTCCTTTTTTGTCTGCACAGATCTTAGAAAGCTAAGAAAATGTCTTTCTAGCCCCGATTTTTGAAGTGTTTCTCTATAAGTGTATAGGTGCTCTTTCTGTGACCCCTGAGGTCTTCTTCATCTATGAATGATGTTTCTAAGGATAAATCCCTCCTGGCCATGATGCATTTTTCTTTTTTATTGCATATGCATGTGTATACACGTTTGTATGCACATGGGTACACCTATGTGTAGATACCACAGGTTGATAACATATGTCTTCCTCAATTGCCCTTCACCTTGTATATTGAAGCATGTCTCTAACTTAAACCATAGCTCACCAGTTTGGCTAGTCTAGCTAGCAGCTTTCTCCAGGGATCCCCTGTCTCTATATCCTGAGCTCTGGCATTACAAGAAGGCCATTATGCCTACTGGGCACTTATGTGGGTACTGGATGTACTAAGTCTGTACCCTATACTTAGACGACGAACACTTTACACACTGAGCCATCTCCTGAACACACTTCCAGCACTGTTGCGTTGGTGAGTTATTTTTTCAGATGGCCTGTGCATACAATAGAGAAACTGGCTTGCACTTCTCATTTCCTTTACGCTCCTACAAAGATATTTGAAATTGGCCCCTCTGATGGGCACTTTCTGGACAGACATGGGTCCTTCTGGACACTGAGTTGCATCTCCATGTCACATCCTCAGGAGACCCACTCCGGCCACCCAAGCCTGTGTTGTGTCCCTATTCTTACACTGGTACTTTGTGCAGTGGGGACAGGGACTATAGAATCAAACCCTGTGTGAGCTGATCATTGTCTGCTTTTTCATTCCTGTTGTGCTCATCTGAAGGACCAGAAGCACCTTTACAGGGTCATGTGCCCCCTGCTGAGGACACATTTGGAACAGAAGAGACTGTGACAACTTGAGCAGGCATTGTAAGTGGTACAGAGCACAGGTTATACCAGCAGACAAGGGACTGGCTTAAGACACTTCCAATCACCTAAAAATCCCTCACAGAAACTCAGTGGCATACTGTGTGTAGACTTGGGCTCAGGTTCTCTAAAGCAGCCGATTCTGGCATGAATCACTGATACATCTTGGAAGACATTGCCATATCCAAGCACTCAGGAAACACAGCTAGGTCTGACTGTGCACAACACCCATCAGAACTTCCACAGAGCACAGAATCAATATTCTGAGTGTGCATGAGTCATGGAAGGTGCACACACAGCAGGCTTCTTGTTATCTTCCACAACAGGAAGGAAGACAACAAAAGCCACCATAGTTACTTGGAGGAGGATGACCAGGGACCAACAGTTCCTGAGAAGCACACAGCACAACCAAGACCCCCCTGAAGGCTGCAGAGTCGAATGGTGAGGAGGAGTAGACCTGCCTGCTGAGGTCAGAGGTGAGACTGGAAAGGGTGGCAGACAGCTGCAATCCCAGCTGACTCCCTGGGAGGAACAAATTCTTCACTCGTGGTCCACATCCACGCTGCAAGAAGGAAAGAAGCAAAACAAGAAGCTGGGGTGCATGTTAATGCTATACCAGGCTCTGTGTAGGTCTCTATACAGTTCCCACACCGTCAGTCTTTATCACCGTGGCATTAGATCACTTCGGCGTGTGGACATGACCATTTTCTAGTGTGTAAGTACACACAATGCCTGAGCACCCAAGCCCTATGTCAAAGCTCAGTGACCACAGGGGTTTCTCCTAGAGGGTGGAGGGTCCTCAAAGGGGCAGTGTAAACCCTGACATAGACAGTGGGTATCTTCTGTGCATAACTCGCAGAGGGCTGAAAGTCAGCTTTGTGTTTGGCCATTCCCGCCTTTATTTAGAGACCCTTCGCTAGACCCTTTAATCAACTGAACTCCCTCCCTGTGGGGCAGCCACAGTGTCCCTGATTCATTGCTCAAAGGGACAAGTTCCAGGATTCTAGGACCTAAGAAGCTGTGCAGTTGAGATAGTCACTAGCATTCATTACTGACTTGCTCGGTAACAATGAATCACCTCGTGCCATTTGGAAAGTGTCTTGCTTTTCCATATTTTGTGTTTCCTACAGACACAAGGCTGTGTTAAAATGCTGGTAGCCTTTAAACCACATGAGTGCAAGAGATTTCTCCTTCCCTCACCCAGCACGATGTGGCTGTCCTTATGGCTTGGGCTATGTTATTTGTGTACCGAACAACAGATGGTACCATCTTTTAAAGGCGAGAATGAACTCCAACTCAGGCCACTTCAGATTTTTTTTTTAAAGTTCTACAACTTCTTGCAATGCTAGGAAGTATATCATTAATCCACCCGAAGTGAAACTCTGCAGTGTCCTTACTCGCCCTACTCTTGTCCTTGGCTGAACTTGTCACATTTGTGCAGAACATGTCCTCTTCACTCCTTGTTCACAGGACAAGAAGCAAAGTGATTGCTGGGTGGTACCCTGCCAGCACCTGTCTTTTTCTCTCTGATCCTGACTGCAGCACCTACTCTAAAGCCTTGTGCTTCCCAGCATTCCATGCTGTTGTCAAGGTGGAAACTGTAACAGCTGTTATACCCATCTGTAAGTTCCTGTCTCCCGTGCTCTGAATCTGGAGATGGGATCACTTAAACTTACTTCTGTGGGTGAATTACATCAACACCCAATAAAGACTCCTGGGGGCCTGAGCGTCCCAAAACATTGTTGTTCCTCCCATACCTAAACCAACAGAGACACTACCATTTCACAAAACAGACATGAAGAAGTTCAATAGCTCTGGGTTGTTACCTTGATGATTTTTTTCAATGCTTACCATAAAAACTTGGTGTGGAGATGTAGCCCCATTTGTAAACAGCTTGATTTGCAAGCACACAGATGCAGGTCTGACTCTCAGCACCCTCTTAAAAAGCTGGACGTGGTGGCCTAGCACTTGTAATCCCAGCACTGGGGAGGTGGACACAGGGAGCTTACTGGTCAGCCAGCCTTGCCTACTTGCTGAGCTCTGGTTCAGTAATAGACACGGTCACAAAAAATTCCTGCTCCTACGGAATGACACCCAAAGTTATCCTGTGTTACACAGAAACACACAAACAAACAAGTATACACACATGCACATACATTTATGCACACAAACAAACATGCAGGTACACATACACGTATACATACGTACAAAGACAAAAAAACTCCACTTCTTTCCAGAGCATCTTTCCATTTGATGCTTCTGAGCCTCTCTTTCACTGGTGTCTCACCGTGACCTCTGCTGTGCCAAGGGCGGGAGGAAAGTGTTTTCTTACTGTGAGGACTCTTCACGAGCAGGTGAGGGGGCATTGACAGAAGGTGACCACTGGACAAAGCTCATCCCAGAAATTATAAAAAGAACCCTCAGTCTTCTATAGTTGCCATGGCTCTGAAAGCATGAGTTCAGGATGACTGGCATAAATCTTACTAGAAAGGGGTAGATTTCTGATTAACAGTCTCTAAACAAGTCCACCGATCTGCAACAGGCGTACGAACACTGAGGTGTTAACGGGCATATAAAGAAGCTGTAAGGCAGAAAAGCCCCTTGGTATACATGGCCCAGCCAGAGGCTTCTCCATATGTGTGACAAGTAGGTCTATACCTATAGCCACATGACTGGCTCCAGCAGAGAGCCGGAGAGAGGCAGCAGGCTTGGGCCTTGTATGAACTGTATTTCTCTCCCAGACCCATATGGTCAAATTTGCATAAGTCAAATGTAAATATGACTTCACGGTAATTCTTTCCCAAATGCCATTATATGCATTATCTTATGAGTCCCACAAATCCCATGGGTGGATCATAGCTATTATTTCCACTTTACAGATGAGGAAATCGAGGCTCAGCAGGCTTAAGAAACTTTCCCAAAGGCAAAGAGGAAGCTAATGACAGAGGTGACAGTAACAGTCAAAACTCTCCAGCTTGCAGGTCTGTGCTCTGTGCAGCCAGCAGTGCATCCCCAACATCAGCAACACTTGTTCTGTTACCAACAGGGTGGCAAGAAGGAGGCTGAGGAGAAGTTTATGGGCTCAACAGCTTAAAACAAATCCATCTTTTTAATGGCCCACAATTATCAAATAAACATGAAGGAAGAAAGGTTCATGCTTTGATCTCTTATACTTTTGGTCACATTAAAGTGCTGTGTAATTGAGTGAACTACATTTGGTGTTGGAAGCTCCCTTAAAGATTTCAGCCCAATATCTTAAAAGTCCATTTAGGGAAACTGAGCAGCCCAGGAACATTTAAGTCCAGGACAGATAAATTGCTTAAAGTAGTAACAGTTTACAAAACTCAGCAAACTTTTCCCCCAAAGAAGCATGAAACTAGGTGCTGGAGAGGTGGCTCAGTAAGTAAAGTACTTACCATGGAAGCATAAGGACCTCAGTGCTGAACATGTGGCCCATCGCTTTCTTCACTTTGCGTGTGAGGATATGGATATGGCAGAAACAGAAGAGTCCCTGGGAGCTGGAAGGCTAGCTAGCCTGCTGGACAACCAAGAAGAGACACTGTCTCAAACAAGGTGAGAGGTGAAGACTGACACATGAACTTGTCTTCTGACCTCCACACATATGCAGTGGCACACTTGTGCCGACACCACACATAAATATTCATCCATCCATTCATCCATCCATCCATATACATACACAGATATTTTAAAGACAAGGAAAAGAAAAATGTGTGGAAGTGGGTAGCCTAAGGCTTTAGAGGCCATGGCACCATCTTCATGGTACAGAGTGCAGTTGTGACTCTTGCAGGCTTTCTATGTCACCTGCATGTGCATCAATGTGAAATGTACACTGTTCTCACTGCCACAAGAGTGCAGTGATGGCAACACCATGATGTGGGAGCTCACAGCAGAAAGACTATGAAGCCAATCCTGGAGGGGGCATCACCTTGGGAGAAGGGAGCACGAAGTATTTGAAGCTGGGGTGAGAGGGGGGATTTCAGAATGCAAAGATGGGATCTAAATAGCCACCCCTACACAGGCCCTTGGGAAGACTTGTACAATGTCAGGTGAAGGGTGACATCAGCAGGTGCTTCTACCTGTGTGCACGGAATGTGTTCCTCTCCCAGGCAGCAGACAGGGAACTCTCCCAGTAACCCTAGCTGATATCCATAGTCTCAGTGGACTCACCTGTGGAAAAATACATGTTCTAGCTTTCCATGACACTAAATCCAGCAAGGAAAGGGCTTATTAACACATAAGATGCCAAAAGATGTCACTGCCAGCTAGAAAAGATTGCATCAAGAGCTTTCCTTTCTCACCCCATCTTCCATACATCAAGTCCCCTTTCTATTCTAATAGCCAAGCCATCAGAATCCACTTCTGGTCTAAGTTTCCAGGGCAGGACTTCAAGGCCCTTATGGGCTATGTTTGTTGTTGGTTATGAGCTAACTACTGTCTACCCTGCTTTGAACAGATATGGATTGCCATGTCAGAAAGCTATGGCATAGCTGGCAGTGAGGACTTAGAAACTGGAGCCATGAAAGGTGCAGAGAGTTAAAAAGAGGCCAGGGATCAACAGCAAAGGAAGTGGGAGCTGCTGCTCCGAATCTGAAGTGAACCACAGAATTAGATGGGGAGAAAGGCAGTTGAGTGTGAAGGAATGGACAAGGCTTCAGAACAAAGCTGAGTACCATGGCAGGTGAATTCCATGGGGGGCGGGCAAAGCATCTTAGAGAGAAACACTCAAGTCTTCTCCACTCCCAGCTTTGCCCTGTGCATATGAAGCTATGAATTATTGTCTATTTGACAGAGAAAGTGCAGCCTCCTTTAAGTAGTCCCTTGTGCAGTGTAAGTCTGGTTTTCACTGAGCCAACAATGCAACTCCAGAGCTATGGTCCCTGCTCTAAAGGAGCTGTCAGTTCATGAGTGGAGCTTGAGAACAGCCCAGTGGAGTGTGGACCACCGGAGCTACCCTGGATCTGCATGAGAAGCATAAACATAATTGTGTGTGAGAAACAGTGACCTCAACCAGACCTCTAAAGAACAGTGAGAACCAGAAGACAAGGGAGGAGGGCAGGAACACTGGAGGCCCAGGTCCCTGTTCGGGGTCAGGAGAGCTGTCAATCCCAGAACAAATCGCAGCGCCAACAGGAGAGAAGTGAGATCTCAGACAAGGCCATATCCATATCCCCACACGCAGAGTGAAGAAAGCAATGGGCCACATGTTCAGCACTGAGTGCCGTGGGACCATATCATGAGCCAGGCTAAGGAGGAGCATGACTACAGGCCTGCAGGGGCCTCTAGCCACCGTGTGGTTTTAGTCTGGTGAGCTTGGAGGAGAGTCCTCACATGAAGAAGGCCTCTGCCGCAGAGATTTTAATCTGAGCGCCCAGAACTTTCAAGATTTCTTAATTACTGGGAAAGATTGTGGCTGAAGTCATTAGGACTGAAATAACAATATTAAGAAACAGAAGAATCAGAAAGCTATTAATATAATGATCTGTCTCACCATTCCAGGTTCCTGTCCCACAACTAGGGTGACTTAACTCCTTCCTCCCTACCACACCCATCCCCTGTCTGACACACCACTCTCCACAGTTCCTACAGAAAAATCTTCAAATGCTAAAGTCTGCCAGCCCTCAACACTGAAATGATCTTGCACTTTGACCTTAAGAGTTTTTCATTCTGGCCATCACGTCCATCCCCCTCCTCCCTGGATATCTCCACATGCCTGCTCCATAGGCAGAGCATCTATTCAATGAGGCCCAACAGTTCACCTCCTCATCCTGAAGCTAGGCCCAAAAGGAGGACAGGCATTTACCTAGATTTTTCCCGACAAGGACTAAGCTGGATACTGACGCAGTATGGGTGCCTAGAACATCACTGGCATTGCCTTCGCCATCCCTTCCCTTCACTGCAGCACAAACCTGATGCAGGAGAATTGTCTGTATTCTGTCAATCATATTTTAATAAAA